TTTAGATAAGATAAGATAATTTTTATTGATCCAATCAAATAGAAATTCAGTTTGTCTACAATTGACAACCTCAGCGCAACTACTGTACAATAACAGTATAGAATTAGTATAGATGAAAAATTCAAACAACATTCACACACAAAATACATACACATTCACAACCAGAGCTTTATGAATTTGACTTCTATGTACTTCTCGAGGACGGCAGATGATCTTGTAACACTCTGACCAAAAGTGGGATAAAGTAGTTTTTAAATCTTTCTGTTTTAGTCCTAATGGAAAGGAGACGACCACTTCGTTTAGATCTTAAGTAATAGTGGTTTAATGGATGCAGGTTGTCTTTAAGAATTGTGAGTGTTTTGGAAAGGCATTTCTGAGATGGAAGAGTTGTTGGTGCATTTTTGTCTAAGGTTTTGACAGTGTTCACCCCATTTAAGTTTGTTGTTGATGGTTGTATTTATATTCTTGTGCTTGTTCTACAGTTTGGTTGTTTATCTGAATTTCTTCAATATGGCCTTTATGTTTCTTTGACACTTGTTTAAAATTTGAGTGACACTATCTTTGATACTTGTATATGCAATCTTTCAGAAATAGAAGGATGTTTGGACTACTCCTTGGAACACTCAATAAATTTAAAACAGAATCTAAAACTTTGGAAACGAAAGTAAGCTCTCACTATTAGTTGACATTTTTTTTTTAAACATCTCTCTAAATATTTTTAACTGTTGGTGATAATTTGGTAAAACATTATTTTGTGTATTGTGATATTTGTAAAAAAAAAATAAATGTTTTTTTAGGAAGTGCAGAGGAAAAAAATAGAAGAGAAGTTGGAAGAAATAGCAGAGAAAGAGAAGAAAAAATTCAAACTGGAAACAAAGCTTCTAATGGAAGAAATGCACATAGAACAATCTAAAATTTCTCGCCTGGAGCAAAAAATGGAAATGGTTCAAGAGGTGTGGTAATTCTATAATCACATTACATCCTAGAAGTCTTTGTCTTTTTTATTTTTTTCACAGTGTACTTTATTTTGCTTCTTTTAGATAGGTATCTTTGGTATAGATATAGCTTGATCGTTTGGCAAGACACCAATAATTTTTGTTCAAAAATTTTTATTTCAGTAATAGTAAGAAAAAACAACTGTTCAATATAAAATTATATCTCATTGAGAAAAAACAACAACTGTTCAGTATAAAATTATATCTCATTGATTGATGCTTGTGAAACTAATTTCTAGTTGAGTTATAATTTGACTGATAACTTAAAAAGAAGCTTTTCAAGCTGCACATTGCTTTTAGTCAAAATAATTTCCAATCTCTATAGGATTTTTTTCCCCAACAAAAATGGCCCTTTCTTTCTCTAGCAGTCATTAAATCCAGCTTGACCTTTGAGACAGAAGCTTATATATTTGCAATGCCAGTTCTACACAAATTAAACATTTAGTTTTGATTTTCTGACGTTATCTGGTTATTGAAAATATTTTATGCATTTATTTTCACAGCATGCTGACAGAGCAAAAGAAATGGAGAAGCTTAAAAACTTTATTACAACCAAGGCAAAGCCGAGAATATTTTGGAAGCCCGTGCACAATTCATCGATGATTGAGAACAAGTTGAAAGAATCCAAGAAAGTGGTTGATGGTAAGTTTTAATTTGCAGATGTTTATTCAAAGAAACAGATTATTTTCCACCCTTATTCATTCCTTAGTCTAGTTGTTTAGGTAACTTCAGGTTTCTTGCTTTAATGGTACTTTGTAAGAAAGAGTTTAATGATCCTTGCATTGGAAATATGAATGGCTAATATGCTTTTATTTGGTGTCTTTCTGGGTATTTTATTTGGTGATGCATTTGTGTTTGTTAAATATGTTTTAGTGTTGTGTATTAATGCTATTTTAAATTCTAATAATGTCTTGGAGTGTCTCTAAGTTTATTGATTATACTAAACTTATTACTCTTGCTAAGTTTGAGTATCTTGTATTATTTCTGTTGTTCTGTATCCTATGCAGTCAACTGCAAATAGTACAAGTTTTCTTCCAGTGCAAGTTTAATCAGAAAACTCATTTATGTAAAGTAGGAACAGTAGTTTTTGTCGACCTGAAAGTTTACGTTGATTTGTCTTGACATAATGAAGAATTTTGTCAAAGCTTTTTAGAAAGTCTAATAATAATATTAATAAGGCTGTGTCTTCGAATCCAAAGATTAATGAGGAATGCAGTATTTCCCATGGCTACGCAGGAAAGTCTAATAAGATGATATCAATTATCTTACTATTAGTTAAAACTTTTGAAACAAAAATTATCAAACGACAAACTGTCAGATGAGTCTCACAAAATCTTAATTTTATAAAGTTGGTTATGAAGAACATTATCTCTGTGATTTATGAAGTTGTGTGTAATTTGTTGTAGTATTTTAGGGCATGTTTGTGAAGGAAACAGGTTGTATATACAATTTTTCTTCTTTAAAAATAAGATGTTGCATAATGTGAGGCCTGAGAAAGTTCTTTGAGAACTGGTGATAGTTTATTTCTCAATTCTTTGACTAATCTAGCTCATTACTTGATATAGATCATTACTTGATTTTTTAGTAACTGTAAAGCCATCTAGTCCAGATGCTTTATTTGGTGTTCAGTTAGTTGATAGTATTTTATTTTTTCTTCTACAATTTCGTCCATAATTTTAACAACTTGAATTTAACCACGGAGGAAGTCTTAGTTTTCTGTGTCTGACATTGCTGGTACAAAACTTTGATTGTATATGTAAGCTTAGTTTCATAATTGTTAACAGTTTAGTCTTTTTCATCTATTGGATTGGAAGGGTTGGGGGTCACAATTTATTTCAAAATAAGCCCTATCTCATAGCAGATGTTTATTATTAAATTTTGTCCTCATTCTTGTTTGATATAAGAGATGATGGCCCACAAAAATGTTCCAGTAGTTTGAAGAGCGTTATAGATCTGTGTTTCTTAAAACATTACATTATCTTTAAAAAAAAAAAAAAAAAGTAATCAGATCCTTTTCAGTAATTGCCTGTAGGTTATTTGAATGAAAAAAATACATGCTTATATTTCCTAGGTAAAACATTATAGCACATTTTAAAGTAATTTCTTAACAACATTGATTGAAAACTTAAATAAACCTAGACTAACATTTTTTTTTTTTTGGATTTGATTTAAAGATTAAAAACTACATCAGATTTCTTTTTATTAGAAATGTGATATTTATAGTATTTCAAGTATTTTCTTGCATTCATTTGAACAAATTGATCTCTAATTTATTCCTTTTTCTTGTTTTTCAGAGATGCTTCAGGAAGGAAAAGATCGATTAGAAAAGGAAATCAAAGAATTAATGGAACGGGAATATAAACGGGAAGAGCGTATTAAAATGAGATTGAGGGAGGATGGTCTATTTGGGGATGAAGATGAGGCAGTGAGAGATGACCAGGGAAATAAGGAATCTAATGAGGTTGTAGTAGTGGGGGGTGCCAACAGAGAGGCTGTAACAGTGGGGGGTGTCAACAGGGACATAAAGCAGGAGCTGGAATCTAGTTTTAACAAGGCAGATGCTGAGGGGTCAGAGTCTCCTCCTTCTAGAGATCAGTTAAAGTCTAAATCTCGTCGGACTGTTGTCTTAGAGAGTGAGAAAGAGGAGAAGAGTGAGGCTGACAGTGACATAGATGACACAGAGGGTGGTAGGGAGACTAACAGGAAAGACTTGGACACTGTAAACAGAAAGAAACAAAGCAAAGAGAAAGAAGATGAATCTAGTTCTGAGGAAGAGGACAATGCTATAGTTGAGAGGCGGGAGTCTGAGGGAAGGGAGGCTAAAAGGTCAGTAGAGCTACAAATAAGTGATAGGAGTAGGGAGAGTCAGAGGTTGAAAAAAACAGACAATCTTGATGTTGAGAGAGAAAGGGGAGAGAAGCAGGATACTAGCAGAAGTGAAAAACAGAGGCTGAAAGAAAGTGATGAGTTTGATGATGATAGGGAAAAGGGGAAGGTACAGAGTGCAAGAAAAAGAGACAGACGTGTGTCCAAAGAAAGTGATGAGTCTGATGATGAAAGAGAAAGAAAGAAAAGGCAAGATGTAAGAAGAACTGAAAAACAGAGGTCAAAAGAAAGTGATCAGTCTGATGATGACAGAGAAAGAGGAAAGAAGCAGGATGGAAGAAGAGAAAGAAAGCGTGTGGTCATTGCTGAAAAAGAAAGTGATAAGAAAGAGAATGAGAGCCATAGAAAAGAGTTGACTTCTAAGGGGGCTAAGCAGGACAGTCGACATGTTAGAAAAGACAAAGATAGGCTGCTAGGACATACTAACAGTAAACACCATAAAAGAGATTCTAGAGACAGTCATGACAGTGATAGCAGCAGTGACAATGACTCAGACAGTAAAAAGGATAGGAAGCGAGATAAGGAGGTCAGGGACAAAAGATCTAAAGACCACAGTCGTCGCTCCAGGGAAAGGGCAGTAAGTGGGAAAAATAGTAAAAATATCTCTAGTACTAAAAATGATTCAGATTCTGATAATTCCAAACACTAGCTGATCCTTGTACATATTCCATTTATTTGTATCTTGTTGCAGCAAACAGGGTTAGCTATTTGCTATCCAATGTATTCACATATACGTATGCAGATAGGATGCATGCATGTGTTGATGTTTTTCTGTTGATTGATCCTTAATGTGAGAGGCATTGTATTAGCTTTTGTTAAAATCAGTTCCTATCTTACAGCTATGTCTTTACTTAGTGTACTTGGCAATAAAAAAACAACAACTGGTTCATCTAATTAATCACTTAATCTTTAATTAGACTTTTCATTTTTACCTAAAATGATTTTGGATAATAGTTCACTTAATGAGCAAATTATTATTATTCACATTAAATGGTTAAATGAGCTGAAACTATACAAAGATTTGTCATCTAGTGTTTGACAAAACCAGTCATTGAGTGATGAGGATAAAAAGTCCCTTAATCTTAAAACTTTTTTTTTTAAAAAATAATTTTGACTAAATCTCTAATTTTTTATCATTTGTTTTTTTTTTTTTTTATATCTACACAATCTGTCAAAATAGTTCATTATTTTATTTTAAAAAATAATTTTCCTCATAGCTGCTGAGTAATTGGTTTTGGCAGACAGTATCACAGATTGTTGAACTTTGACCTTCACATACAATGTCTCTCAGCACTAACCAATGATTTTCATTCCACAGGGGCTGCTTAGCTTATATGTTATCTTTGAGTTCTTGAATGAGTCAATTTTAAAGGCTCTCAATATTTTTCTTAGGCCAGGCTAATTCTAATATCTGTATTAGTGTGTTGATTGGTCCCTTGTTTCCTATGTCACTGTAGTTTATGCCTGGAAAGAAATGGGGGCTGTAGCAAAGGGATGGTTAGCTCTCTTCTAGATTTGCCTACACCACTTTTCTAATGTATCTGTAAATGTTTTCTGGAAACATCGTCTTGTTTCTTCTCAGTATATTTTTCAGATTTGTTTCAGGACTTGGTAAGTATGTCTCCAATGATTGATTTGCTCTTGTTTGTTGTTGAATACATTTAATTAAACATGTTAAAGTTAGTTCTACAATTAAATGAAGCTCGATATGTTTTAAATTGTAAATGATATGTTGTCAGTCTGGTCTTGAGGACCAAATACTTATGTATACTGTTGTATTATATTTTGTTTTCCTTTCTTATTTTTACCAATAAATTTTCTTAAAAACATTTTTAACAAATTGTTTAATTTTTCTTATTTTTGGTTTTATATTTGTTTTAGCTAAGAATTGATCTAGTGAATAGTTATTAAAAAAAATCTGATAATGTTCACTTGTATATTATCCTATGTATAGATGTCACAATACTCATTCTCAGCTACAACTGAAGGTACTTGCTGGTCTGATCAATTGATGTTACCTTCCACTAAGACCTAGCAGTGTAATGTCAATACTGTTCACCAGGATTTCCTGAAAATTAACTCCTACTCTTCTCTATTTTTTTTTTACCCAATTCTAATTCAATAAATGAAGTGATGCTCTGCATTGAGAAACAAAGAACAATGTAATCAAAAGATTTTGGGTTCATTTCAGTTTACAATTCAGGGTTGTATTTTTTTTTTGTCTTGGCTTGCCTGCCTGGGCAACCCTGACATACTATCAACTTAGTATGGTAATAAATCAATCAAATAATGCCACTGGGCTAACCTACAGTATTTAACAAGAAGCAGCATTGTAACAAATGTTAATATGTTATGAATGATAGTTGTCAGTATTACATATTAAGTACTATTTCAGTGAGCATACATTTTTCACAAATAGACCACTAGGTTAACATAAAGGCACCCCTTATTCAAAATGCCAGCAATATAATCCACTGCCCACAAGGAAATTCAATCCAAGTATGGCCCATACAAAGCCAACGGTCTACGCTCAGATCAAGCTTGTCCTTAAACAAGAGAAATATGAATTCCTTGTGAAGCCACATGACTAGAATGATGAACAGATTTGGAGCAAATAAAATAAAGATGAAAGTAAACATAAAGATTAACTTACCCACTATTGGGAACAACAAATACCGTATTTTTCGCCGTATAAGACGCACTTTTTCTTCTCCAAAACTGGGGGGGGGGGGGGAGTTGGTGCGTCTTATACGGCAAATACACATTTTACATGCATTAAAACTGCCCCCAACTTTGTGTGGCGCTTACTCGCAGTCCTTTCCTTATGCAGTGTGTGCTGCGGGCTGGATTTGGGGCACGTACTGCGGGCTGTGGTGACTTCTGTGACCCTCCCTGCACGGCCAGGCTGTGTGTGTTCGGGCTTCCCTCTCCCTCCTATAGCGCGCCATGCCCCCCTCCCGACAGTCTAACCATGTGCTGCACGGGCATCATGCTGAGCTTACTGCCGGTACCTCCATCCATCAGCGCAGGCTACGTCTCCTCATGTCTCCCGGAGCAGTCTCACTCCTTGCTGGGCAGTGTGGGCACAATTTCGCCGCTTCTCTGCATATCTCCCGGGCACCCGATCAATCCATGCTGCCCTGAAATGTCCGCCTCCTCCAGCCAATGCTTACTCATGGGACTCCGTGAAGGAGGACATTGTTGTAAAATCCTTCAAGAAGTGTTGCATTAGTAATGCCTTGGACGGAACAGAAGACGACGTCTTATTTGACACCAGTGAGGAAGAAAGTGATGACAATGACTGCGAGGATCAGTCCTTCCTCATTTCTGATAGCAGCAAAGACGAGGAATTCTTGGGGTTCGAATAAAAACATTACAGACTGATTTTTGTTACTTTCACTGTTTACTGACTGTTAATGAGAGTAAAGTTTGTTCTTAATATGTTACATGGTTGACATAAAATTGTTCTTAAACTGCTGTTTACTTTATACAGTTGATATAAAATATTTTAGTACAGTATTTGGTTCAGAATCTTTTTTTTCTAGATTTTCCTCCTTTAAAATTGGGTGCGTCTTATATGCCGGAGCGTCTTATACGGCGAAAAATACGGTAATATAACATAATATTGATGAGTAGGCAATGGTAATGTGTATGAGCACGACAAAGAAAAATTGTTTAGGCAAATAGATTAAAACCAAAACACAGATCTGTGAAAAGATAATGAGATGATGCTTTTCACTGTTACACTATACATGGTAGCATAATAATGAAATACTTTTGAGTCAATTTGAACTTTTGGAAAAATTCAATATACACTTGGTGTTTTGGCTCAATATTTATATACATAAATTAGTTTTGACTCATTGAGTTATGAAAGATTCTTCAGGTAGTAAGTACAACACAAGCAAGCACTTTGTTTTTCAAAAGAATATTTAATGATCATTTTCATTTGTAAATCATGTAGAAACACGCTGACAGTACAAAGTAAAACAAAAATATATTTATTAATAAATAAACAAGCATGGTATAAGTATACATTTTAGTTCAAGGGAGTATTACTGAGTCTGCTGAGGCTTATGATCACTATTTCCTGTATTGGGTGTTAATACATCACCAAAATGTTCCCTTTTTTTATATTTTTTTATATATTTCATTTAAAAAACAACAATGTGAAAAGAAAAAAAAACATTTATAATAAGACTGTACTAGAACTTCAGTACTTTAGACACAATCAAAATGATAACAGTTTAATAGTTGTAATAGTTATGTATATATATATATATATATGTATATATATATATATATGTATATATATATATATATGTATATATATATATGTATATATATGTATATATATATATATATATATATATATATATATATATATATATATATATATAAAGTACCATAATGACTAATGAATTAAAAGTTTTCAAAATTTTATTTCAGTAACTAATATTTCAAGATAAAAGTATATTTCATTTTAATGTTTCAACTTCATTCAGTTAATTAAGAAATAGTTTATATCAAAGTTTTCATTAATGGATATGTTTAATATATAAACAACAAATCTCACATGCAGTCATTTGCAAAATAATTTATTCTACAATTCCATCATCTCTGGCCTAATTTACCCTCAAGGTAAACTAAAGTGAGTGTCTTAGTTGAAATATTTTTATTTTTTTTTACTTGAAGTGTGATTTACGTTAGAATATGTTTTTGGTAAAGTTTATACTTAGACCAAAAACATTAATACTTTTTAGAGTAAGTTTTCATAAGTATAATTTTTGTCTTAGTCTGTTAAATGTTAGTGTTTATTAAAAATAAATTGTATGTTGTGTAAGATGCACATTATCTTTAGTGTTTTTTTTTACATCATTCTTAAATTGATCAAATAGTGATAAAAAATGTTTTTCTATATCCAAAGAGATACATTCTTTTTTAAACTTACAAATTGAAAACCCTCTTGGTGCTACATAAAATTATTTTATGTTTAGACTTCTAACCCCAAATCATAAAAGCATAACGGAAAATAAAAAAAATAATTTCAAAATTCCAGACATATTCACAATTTGAACTGTTTGTTCATACCATCCCTGGCTTAGCATACATTGGTAGATGATAGTAGTTGTAGCTAATGAAATTCAGCAGACGACTTTCTACTGCTCTTTTAGCTCCTGTTGATACATAGGCCATCATCAGTTCTTTCTTCTGCTCTGGTGTCAACTGTAAGAGTTACGAAATATTTATGAATGAAAAAAATGTTGGACCTTGAACAGACATTTGAAGTTTAAACAATACACAAATATTATAATTGAACTCCATATGAGGTCTTTCTCTTTTTAAAAAACTTTGGGGTTTCAATACAGATCAAGAAAAATTCTACCCCAACAGAAGACTGTAATTCTATAAGAAGTGCTCTCAGTGGGTAGAAACTTGTGTAGTGGATATGGTAATGAGAAACAGGCTACTGAATACATAATTTATCTTATAAATTTCAGAAGTTTCTTCTTAGAAGATAATTATTTTCTATTCCTACCAGAGTGTCAATCTAGATAAGCATTTTAATTTGAGACTTAAGCTGGGCTAAGTCATTGCCTGTTTCAAGCAACTCGAATGGCATAGGCACTAGGGAAGAAGAAGTAGCACTTGTACAAATACATGAATAATGAATCTAAGACAGCCTCTTTGATCAGACAACCTTGATCTATCTTCCAAAAAAAACAAAACAATGAACAGCTGTCAGAAAAAACAAATGTCTGCTTCAAACCCAAACTTACACCAGAATACCCCCCCCCCCCCTTTAAAAAAAAACTAAAAAAACATGCAATACAAAATACAAGCCCCAACATATTGAACTTAATGAAAAGGTCTCATCTTGTTGGCAAAAAAGTCTATTTAAATGATTTAAATCAATGATTCCCAAAGTGGTCTATATAGACCCCCAGGGGTCTACGAAGAGTTCCAAGGGGTCTACGAAAGTGAAAAAATAAATTGGGGGTCTATGAGATGTCCATGGGGGTCTACGAAAATGGATTTTATTAAAGCAGTTCGTGACTTTAAATTTTCACATCTCAACAATGTAATTATTTCCAACACTAATATATGATTTGTACCTTATTAATCCTTTTATATGTATCCTGCTATTCAAACGAAAAATGTTATATTTAATTTCAATATTTATTTATATTGCTTTATTTTTTCTACAAAAAGAAATGTAGATTATACAGCATTTGTTATTTAAAATTGGGATTCATTTCTTCCTTGTCAAACAAGCGGTTGCCTACCTTTTTATGACGATATAAAACTAATTACGATGGGGGATAATTTGAGTATGAGTTATAACAAAAGCTTCTTATGTAATTCTTTGCAAACGACATATATACAGTTTGGGATCAGCGGCCTCCCATATTCTGACAGGATGTAGCGCTGTGTGCTGCATACTGCCTAGGGGTCTTCGGCTCCTTATTTTTCTTGGGTTGAACCACGAAACAGTTCCCATGTTTAGGGTATGTATATTTGCAAGGCAGCAGAGTTTTGAATTACGTTTTTCTCTTGCTTTGTGGGTTGCATGCCTAGGCTTATGAGTTTGATTTGATTTGATTTTGGGCACATCGGCACAATTTAGGCCATGTCGTGCCTGCAGTCCCTCAAGGGCCACTCTCCCTCCACACAATAAGGGCCAAATTCCATACAGTCAAATCATTAAACTCAAGGTCTATTCACAGTTAAAATAGTAGAGGTAGTACAAATTTAATAATTTGGTAAAAATCTAATGTAAATAGTACATGTTTACAAATTCATAAATCAGATCTTCGTAGACAACCCCACTTAAAGTCCAGTACCTTCCCAGGGTCGACATTATTGATTAGTGTTTTTAAATTAGTGGCTCTAAAATATTTCTCCCTGACATCCTGGTATCTGGGGCAGTCGATGAGGATATGTTCCACGGTGAGGCGAGAGTCACAGTACTCACAAAGTGGGGGCTCTTCTTTCTTCAGCACAAAAGAGTGCGTGATGTAGGTGTGGCCAATCCTAATTCTGGACATGGTCGTGCTACCACGCCTTGTCAGACCCTTAGATGTGGACCGCCACCTGACATCCGCCACAATCTGCCTGAGTTTATTGTGAGTCTCAGCCTCCCATCGGTCCTGCCACTCTTGATAGGTGGCAGAGGCAATACTTTGTCTCAGGTCCGAGCAGGGAATTTGATTTCCTGACACCGCATGATTTAGGGCTCTCTTTGCTTCTCTGTCTGCGGCTTTGTTTCCCTCAATGCCCACATGGGAGGGGACCCAGATGAAGGTGACATCCCTATGGTCAGCTGTTATTTGGTCCAACAGCTTCAGGCTCTTATGTACCAATGGAATGTCAGTCTTCATCCGCCCCAAAGCTTGCAATGCAGATTTGGAGTCGGAGCAGATTATAAATTTCCTTCTTTCTGATGCTTTGACGGCCATAAGTGCAAGCGATATTGCATGCAATTCGGCCGTAAAGATGGAGCAGCCATCGGGGAGTCTACTGAAGATTGTTTTGTTCCGAAAGGAGCAGGCACACGCGACCTTTCCATCCATTTTGGATCCGTCTGTGTAGATGAAGCCACAATCTCCGTAGCTCTCCTGCAGTTCCCTAAAGTGGACTTGTAGTATGCTTGGGTCTGTATTTTCTTTTTTGAAATTAAGGAGGGATAAATTTAATTTGGGTTTATTCATTAGCCAAGGAGGATTCTGAGGGGTTTCTATTTTAGAGATTTGGTCAATGGGTGGGGTTAAATTTTGGATGGGTTCTCTCATTCGAAGGCCCAACGGCTGTATGATGTTAGGCCTTCGATTGTATAATTCTACCTCTGTGGGGTTAAATATGGAGTCGAAAGCAGGGTTCGTGGGGTTGGATTTTAGCTTGACTATATACTGCATTGCAAGCTTTTTCATTCTTATATCCATGGGGAGTTCTCCAGCCTCCACATGAAGACTTGGGATAGGTGATGTACGAAACGCGCCGAGACAGAGACGCAGGGCAGCATTTTGTATTGGTTCCAGTATTTTTAGGTATGACTTCCTTGCTGCTCCATATATTATGGATCTGTAGTCTAGCTTGGATCGAATTAGACTCCGATATAGCAGCAGCAAGGTATCTCTGTCAGCTCCCCAGTCCGTATGGCTGAGTACTATAAGTATGTTTAATGACTTTTGGCATTTCTTCTTAAGTTCCTTAATGTGATGGGGGGGGGGGGGGGTGGGTGGGGGGGGGGGAAATTAAATTTGGAATCTAGGGTGAGGCCTAAAAATTTTGTAGTTTCCACAACAGGGATCTTCTTTTTGTGTATAAATAGTTCAGGGTCTGGGTGGAGTCCCCTTAAATTACAAAAATGAATACTAACTGTTTTGGAGTTCGAAAATTTAATACCATTATCGTTTGCCCAACCCTGAATTTTGTTTAAACATAGCTGTAATTTTCTTTCTAAGGTGTTCATGTTTTTCCCATAAGTAAAAATGACAAAGTCATCAACATACAAAGAGCACTCTATGCCAGGGGCCTACGCTTATGAGTCCCACCTGCCCAAAGCTTACTGGTTTAGACGAAAGTTACTTCGCCCCTTCTCCTGTTTGAGAAAACAGTTCCGGGGACCCAATATTTGGTCCAGACGTGAAAGATGAAGAAATACACAAGAAACTGCTCCTTACGCAAACTTTTACAGTGATACTTAAGGCCAATTAATTAATTAATTGATATTTATTGTTTGAAGAACTACTTCATAGAACAACAAATTCCTATATGAAGTATAATATCCATAGCAACGGATGATAAATCTGCAAAAAAACAACAACACATATTTCCAGTGTATTTGGTGGTTCCAGTAATATATATTAATTGTTATTTTAATTGGTATAAATTAGAAATTTATCAATAAAAAAGATAGATCTCTCTTAACTTACTAAGTAGCTTTGAATTACTTATGTAGTGGAGTGGATACCTTTTCAGGAAACACCGGCCACCCCGATATACACGTGACCCTTCCCCTTAGTTGGCACCTTGTGTCCGCGCATAAAAAGGCAGACAACGTGGGCACTGTCCATTCTACCGGCATCTTTTGTCACTGTAGCTACGTTGTCTCCACTCCCTGTCTGTGCCTGGTTCTACACCATGTGTTTACGTAGGGCTGCAGGTCTTTAATGTATAATAAATAGTTTGGAATCGTCTTACGAGTTGCCTTCGTCATGTCATTTAGTTTGTGTTCTGTGACAAACCCACCACACTTATTTACTCTTCGACTC